TCTCAGTCCCAAAATGCCTGACACCTTGAGTTGCTGACTGCAGCTGATGGCCGCAGGCCCACCACCGCTGCTCTTCTCCATTCGGAAGTCCGCTGTGCTCTGCAGGACACGCCAGCACAGGTGCTCACTTGGCCCCCTCACACAATCCCATTCGAGTCCACAGTGGCATCTGCATCCAAATTGCCAACTGCTTGGTCTGCAGCCTTGGGGCTTCGTGTACACATCGGAGTTCCTCAGCCAGCTAATTCATCAAATCCCTGAACCCAAAAAATCGCCCTCCTAAAATCGATTCGCGCAGGCAGCACATATTATTCGTGAAAGATGGCCGGGCCAGGTGCACTCGCATCTTGTAGCTCTTCCAACAAAACTCCCAAACACCGACCATAACTCAGACACAAGAGTGCTCCGACCGGGTCCGTGCCAATCTCCGCTGCCCGGCCCTCACGCAGAATGCATGCTTATTTGTCGCAGCCAACAGGTGTCGCACAGCTGTACTCCCGCCCAACAAACCCTCAACAGTGCTCCCCTCATAAGCAGCGCCCGCTGGCGTCCCCGCTGCCACTCGAGCTCAGGCCGGTCGCGCCGCTGGCCCGGCTGTCCAGCCCAAACTGCTCCGCTGAGTACATCCCCACCATTGCATCAGACACCTGCATCCCATCTCCAAAGTCATCGGCATACTGCACGTTCAGCGATGGAAACTGCACGATGTCCGCAGCCTGGGATCGTCCGTAGGCATCCATGGCACTTGCACTCGACCTCGAAGACAGGGTGGTGTAGGCGTCAGAGCCGCCTCCCTGGTTGGCGTACAGGTAGGTCTGCTCGGCCGCGACGCTACCGGCGGTGGGCACGGGCATGGAGGCAGCCCGGGCAGCACCCCCCGGGTACTGCACCACCTTGCTCTGATACACAGGCACCTTGACGATCACGGACTCGTGCTGGGGGCAGGCCTGGCCGCTGGCAGAGTGGTCCACCACGTGCATGCTGTGCTGACGGCCTGGCGCCACAAAATGGGGCAAGTTAGGGCGGGGTGGAGAGCAGGTACAGGGAGAGAATTTTCCACTAAATTGGGATCCTTTTAGTGCAAAATTTGGCCATTGTAAGTCAAGCCCCATCCGTTGGGTGTCCAGAGTGTTTGTCCCACTTCGTCTCAGCCACTGAGGGTAACCAATGTATAGAAGATGCGGGTACAGGAAGCAGGTCATAGGCATCTCTGCACTGAGCTTGAAGACTTGTGCCATTGATAATCGTGGTGTCCAAAGTTCCGTGAGTGGGGGAGCAGGTGGAAGGGCATAAGAGGGCCAGGGTTCAATGGGGCAGGCAATTGATCAGCACCTTGTGCAAGGAATGGCATGTTTCAACAATTTGAAACAGCAATGCGACACTAGCAGCTCAAAAGATGCACATGGAGGACACGCAACAGCACAGCAATGAAGCTCAGGTCCACTTGCACCTGCCTCAAACGCAAACACACACATCTGAGTGCATCACAAAAGAGTGTGCTCATCCCTACTCACCAAACTGCACTGGCTGGCTGAGGTCCTGCCACCCGTACGTTCCCTCGTCCACTTCGGGAAGAGGTTCGCTCGCAGCCCTTTGGCCCAGCGGCACCACCTGACAACACAAACCATGTGTTAGCACCTGGTTGGGTAGCCAGTTGGGTGCCAGGCAATAGTTTGACCTTGTTCAGGGCAAACGCCTTTTGCAGACGATGGCAGGCCCCTGCTCTGTGTAATTAATATGAAGAACTGCAAATTGCACAATTTTAGGGTCACAAATTTACAAAACAATCAAGCACTGCGATGTCAGACAAAGTGCCAAATCCTCGTCTGTCTAAACAAGCTACTCACTCTCTTCACCGCGTATCAAACACTGAACCTTGAACCACACCGCATATCAAACCTTGAACCTCGAACCACACTAATTGTATGGTACACAGCAAGAATCTGCAAACATTGCATTCGGACACCGCAACTCACCGTGCCCCCCATGACCTCTCCGGGTGACTGCCCGCACATCAGGTCAAGGTCCGACCTCAACTCCGACTGCACCCTCTGCTCCGTCTGCTCGAGTTCGATGGCCTGGCTGTACTGCCCAAAGGGGCTGGCATGGATCCCGAGCTCAGGGAACAGCGGGATGTCGTTGGCACACATGATTGGGGCCCAGGTCGCATCCATGGCATCATCGATCAGGGCACTTGAGGCCGGCTCCAGAGGGCAGGAAGACAGGAGGTCTGCCACCTTGGAGGTTCCCAAGGTGGGGCTCATGATCACGGTGCTGCTAAGGTCCTGCAGCGATCAACAACGGGAGAAACTAAGAGGCCGCGGATGTGAGGGGAACAAAGGAGACACAGGGCAAGGGGGTCGCAATGAGTGAAAACAAACTGGAAAGCGATGGTGCTCAAATGCAGTGATGCTTTGGAGCTTTTCGGCAAGGTAAAGTGTGCACAAGGACATATGCAGATGCAAAGGACGCATCAAGGCAACGTGGGGACGTATGAAGAGACTCTCTTTAATTCAGTTCACTGGAGGTACAACAGTGGCAATCGCAATTCAGCAGCTGAGGCCAAAATACAAGGGATGCCAACACGCTGGTCGCTGGTGCTGAGGATCCAGTTGCCATACCTCCATGGTGGCGCCCTCACGCAAGTGCTCCCTGCCAGTCCAGATCGGCGGCAGTAGCATGGCCTGGATGTTGTCAGCAATGTGGCCAGCGATCGGCACAAGGGTGCCGTCCTCATCGCCAGACGACACAAAAGCATCGATCAAGTTGTGCTGTTGCTGATTCTGGTGCTGTTGTTCCCGAGCACACAACACACGTCAGTGAAGATGCTAAAGCAGTGTGCAGGAATGAGGGAGCAGCGCACAATGCGGAAAAGCAGGGAGCCTGCAACCGCAGTGGAGTGCAGCCAGTTTACACAACACGGCTTCGAAATTCTTGGCTCTGCGGACAAGTGCAATATGCAGCTCCTTGGGTCAACTTTGCTCAAGCTCACACTGCATTCCTGGGAAATGAACAGCGTGGTTCCAGCGCCCTGCCACCAACTTTTCCGATTCCTCAAGATGGGTGTACCAAAAAGACAAACGTGGAATTCTACAAGCAACAGTGAAGACAACACACTCATGGGGTTTGTCTTTAGGCTGAAAGCACTGTGACGTGCCAGACAGAAACACACAACCTTGTTTTGCACACTGACGCAACTGAAGCTGCTGTGTGTGGATTTTTATTTGAAACACGTACATCATACGTTGTTCAAGCCATGTCAGGGAAACACAGCGACAGTGACTCCCGGTTGGGGGACATACAGGGCACACCTTTGCTGCACGCGATGCACGGACAGACTTCTTCATGGCAGTTCCAAAGTCAGCACCCTTGCTGACCATACGCAGGGCATCGATGACTTGGTCCTGTACAACAAGGTGAACAGTTGATATCAGCAAAGCAAACCTGCAACCCGTGACCAGATCTGCTCTTGCCAAACAGCCAGGGAGGAACACGAATCCTGTCAGTACACCACTTGGTTCTTGCCTGTCCCACTAATGCCAAGGGAGAAATTGATAACAAGATGAATAAAGAATACACGACATCCTCAGGCAACAGACAATGGAACATGGGCAAAAGACCAGGTGCTCAGGGAATAAACAGTGCACGAAAGTGGACCAGCTGTACATACGGCAACCTTCCCCAGAGCGCAAAGCGGCCTATTGTGCTGACTGCAAAATGCAATGTTGTCGCTCCACCAGCTGATTGGAGATGCTCACCATCGACAGGGTGTCCAGGAAGGGCCCCAGACGCAGGTAGCCACTGGGCTCGAAGTTCGTGTGTGCCTTGCTGCCTCTCAGCTTCAGGCCCATGATGTCGTGCGCCTTTGCAGCATCCATGGCCTCCTTGAAGCCTCCCAGGTAGAGCTGCTTCTTGTTGTACCAAATGTGGGACTCCCACTTCTTGGTCCGCCTGCAGCCATGGGGTTTCAGGGAACTCTCAGATACACAGGAAATCAGGGTGCGCAGGAATCAGTCAGACAATAACCTGCACAATGAGCACTCCTGGCGGTACAGAACGAAGTCTTCTTACAGAAACAAGGTACGTTTTTTGTGCAGTGCTCTGGCAAAATCCAAAATAAGGTGGCACAGCGGGCGCCCAACATCGTACGCCCAGGCAAATGACTTTCAAGTCAACAAAACAGCCAAAAGGAAAGTAGAACGAAGAGAATGAATGCGCCACACGGATGACGAAGAGTGTGCTGCTTGTGGACAACAACCAGCCCACCACTCGCCAGAACCGCGTAATCAGCACACCATCGGTTGCGCACCAAGCGCCCTTTTGATTGAAGTCGCAGCAAAAGAAACCAGGAGAACATTTGCAGCGCACAGCCCAGGGGCACCGACCTGTGGCGGACCCCCCCGCAAGCAAATACAAGCGATGACTAACGCTGACTCCACCCCCCCGCCCAAACTCAACCCGCTGAGTCGGGCGCACGTCACGCAGCCCCGCACTACAACCCAGCACTACATCGCCACCGCGGTACACTCCTCCCCACGACTCCGCCGTCGAAGTACTTTACAGTACATTCCCACCTGCCGCCCCCGCGCTTGATCCTTTTGATCCGCGTCCGATCCCGGATCGATCCCGGGACACCAAATCCCGACCCGGCCTTTCTGGCCAATCAGGCGGCCAGCTCATCGACCAGAGGCGCCATGACCGGAGCCACCACCGCCGGGCCATCAACGCGATCCAGCCCAACCACATCACAGCGCACCATTTACCCTCAGGTCTCACCCGTTAACCCCTGGGACGGTACTCGGCCATCAAAGGCCTCAGGCGGGGGAGGCCGGCGCACGCTCCCACCCCACGCGCGGCCCGAGCGGCGGCGGACGGCCCAAGGCAGGAACGCGCGGCCGCCAGCGCTCACAACGCCTCGCCAGCCACCCCAATGGGCAACAAACGCGCCCACAAGGCCGAATCATTGCGCTAGACACCCTGCGAAAAGACACGACCCCAGTGCGGGGACAGCGGAAGCGGTCGGGCGGCGGCCGACAGCTCGGTGCGGGGCCGCGCGACCCCGAGAGCTCAAAGCTCGTAACCAGCCTCCGCAATGGCCAGCAAATCCGCCCACACAACCCAACCATCGCCCGGGCAGCCCCGCCAAAAGGCGTGGCCCAGATCTGGGGACCCCAAAAGCGCCCCAGCGGATGCCGCCGGGCCGGGGGATGCCCTCACCTGTGCCGCGTGACGCCGCGGAACTGCGAGCTGGAGCTCGGCGGGCCCCGGCGCGAGCCCAGCGCGTTGGCGTTCAGCCGGAGCTCCTCCACGGCCCCGCCGGCCCCCCCCTCCGGCCGGAAGTAGGCCCCCAGGGCCGCCACGAAGTCCTTCATCACCGCCTCCGCGTCCGCGCATGAGTCGCCCTCGCCATCCGGCGAGCCTCTTTCCGACATCGGGGATGCGCGCCCGCGGTTGGCCATCGACGCGCCGTCCGGCACCGGCTCGACCTGCCCGGCATCGCACGCCCAGCCCGCCGGCCCGAATCCCACCGCCTCCTCCTTGCAGATTGCGGCGGAGGGCATCCCGCCGGGGCCACCCAGCGCGGAGCTGCTGCTGGAGCCGGACGCCGGCGAGCCCCCCCGCGGAACGGGGTCCGGGAAATGCACCGCCTGTGCCGTGGGGAGCTGGCCGCATTCCGCGCCATCCTGGCCCTGCATCGCGGCGAGGGATGCCGCCGGGCGGGCGGCGGAGGGGGGTGAGAGGCCGGTGCGGCCTTCCTTGGGGGGCGGAGAGGCGCTGGGGGGTCCGAGCGCCTCCGTTTTCGGTGGGGTGGGTGGGGGGGTGGGGCGCGGAGGATGATTATGCGGCGGGGGGGTTCTCTTCAGCGGGGCTCGGGGGCACGACAGTACAGGTGGGGCTGACGGGCTGGGAGCTGTCAGGGGTTACGCCGGTCGCGCGCGAAAGCGCCGCTCCGGTTGACCCCTTTCTGGGACGGGGCGACTGTCGGTCCGACAGCGCGGGGGGCGTTCCGGAATATATTTTGGGCCGGGGCGGGCAAAGTACTGGGGGTGTCGGAGTCAGCGGGTGCGGAAACTGCGGCCAAAACTGGCGAGCCGCGAGGCCAGGTTGACCCCCGCGTGGGGCGTGGGCGTCGCCGCAGACATCCAGGATCTGTGGAAGGTGGCAGCCTTGGCGACAGGGTCTGGGGAAGCGGGGCCCGCGGGGCCAAAATCTACAGAATCCCGTCACTTTCTTGGTGGGCGACGGGCCGCGCCGCGGCCCAGGAAGTCCAGGAAAGCGGCCGGGGAATGAGCTGTGCGCCTTCGCGCCAGCTCAGTACCACGAATGGTTAAGTACTGTGGCAAAGTACTGGGGTCACGCCTCCGTTGTCCGAGTGGGGAACACAACACGGCAGCGGCGATTCTGTCCCCAAACAAAGCTTTCTGGGTCGGTGGCTTGGGTTTCGGTTGGGCTGCCTGGCGCGGCCAGCCAACGTGGCGCGTGTCGCGCCGACTGTGTCGGTGGCGAGCAAGACTTTCGGCACGGCATGCTGCCGGCGGAGGGTTTTGCTGTGAGGGCGACCCGCCTGCACTGGCAAAAAAAACATGCCCAAATACACGCTACTGAAGTCGTGCATCGTGTAAATCGTGCAAATTGATTGAAAATCGCGTAGAAATCGTGCTAAATCGTGTATTTATCGGATAGAAACGTGACCAAATTGTATAGCAACGATTGAGCGAGTACACATAATTTTCAGATGTTTGGCAACGGTTTACACGATTTTTACACGGTTCTCAACAGTGTGTTTTGGCCAACTTTTACTTGTGCTGCGAGCGTTCAGGCGGCCCCAGACGGTGGACCAGGAGCATCAACTGTGTTGGAAGAAAGTAGTACGATGTATCGCAAATATCGATACTTAGTATTCACAGTATTTTGTTGCACTGGTTTTGCCCGACAATATCTTGCTCTACGGACCTGGTCAGATGGCAGGGAGGGCGTCCCACTTGGCTGGGCGCAGTTCTGTGCCCCGTGGAATCTTGCCGGTGTGTCGAAACGACCAGCATGCCTTTTTGGCTGTTTGGCAAAAGATGGGAGCAGATGGTACAAGATGGACGGTTGCTCGGTGTTGCTACGTTGGAGCCAAATTTGGGGCGCCGGCTAGCCGCTGAAGGTCGTTCGGAAAGGCTATTAGACCTTCAACTTGGCCCTAGTTTGTATTGCTGCTAAAATCGCCGAGAAATTCGGTGTACAATTTGGGCAAATCAAATGAGAGCACGGGGACCTCCAGTCCCAGTCCTTGGCGCCTACTGTAGCCTGGCCAGCGGAGAACGCTCCTCTGGAGCCTGCAACGTGTCCGCAGCATGGGATTTAATTCGTCGAACCAATCGGGGTGCTGAAAATCTGGTGGTTCACGATGCTTCAACCAACAAGCAGCGATGTACCACACGATAGCATTTGCTTGTTGCAAACGAAAATTCGCCGTTGATTCTTCGACAAAGGCCCCCAAGGCAGAGGCTCAAATAAAGCTCCATCCCATCCATGGCGGGTAGCCCCCTCCAAGGATGTCAGAGGAGTAACTTTTTTGAGCTGGGAGGGGAGTGCAACATCCTGCGCTCCTATTTCAGATCTTTTGTGGTTTGGAAATCGCCCAACTGGCTCGAGCACATTTCGCCCTACTTCCTTTGTCACCGTATGTGTCCGATTGGGTCGGCCACAAGTTGTGGCCAGCAACCCGTTGTCATCATTAAGCCGCACCTCTACATTATCATTGCATCATGCGCATTCATGGCTGCAAGTCCAGCGACCGTACTGACCTGTCCATTTTACTGGCATTCCCTCGGGATATCCCCTCTGAGCTTACGCATCTGCACCCATATACGGGTTCAATAGTATTTGTATATGAAATGCACATTCAAAGAGGAATGCCTCTTACCAAGCAAAGGCACCCGGACGCCTTTTGTTTGTTAGGGACCATATCTGCATCTAGCGTGTCGACCGGCTTCACTCAGCCGGCGATTTCGATTTCAGCACGTCGTTTGCATGTCGCGCATCAATTTGCGCACTGAATTTGGTCCCATAAACCGTGACCTGATTTTCTGGCTTTCAGCACCATGATTGAATCGGATTCAATTATCTTTCCCATCTCTTGAGCCTCGACGCCTGGGAAACACATCCACAAAATTTGTGCGCTCAATCTTATATTGCTCGTCTCCGCAGAACCGCATCTGGGGCATTGACTCAATGCACGTCTCTTTTACATCATGGTAGATGTAGACATTGTGCTGCGGGTGTTGGAGATGGCGGAGCACGGATCATTGTACGCAACTTTCATCGTGTAACCCAGGCGTCACAGGGACCCGTAAAAACGTAAAAATGGCCGTAAAAATAGGCCCTTTTGCAAATTTACGTTTTTGCGGTAAAAACATAAAGTAAAAACGCAAACGTAAACGTAAAAACCAAGCCTGCAGCAAGCAATGTAGGCACAATTTCCACTCGCCCGGGAACAATACCTCACTGGGACCAGCAGGGTGTTCAAAATGACGCGCAAATCTTGTAGTTAAACGCTCCATGCGCAGGCCTCCAGTGCATCTCCGAGAGCCCAAAGCACTGACCGGTATTTCCAGTAGTGGCCAAAGTACATTCCGGGACATTGAACAACCCGGAACCAGCCACGTTCCCGCAGCTCAGAGCATTGAAATTCGATTGCCCCACTGTCTCCGCGCTCCAAATAGGTCTGCCACCCCTGTAACTACAAGATTGGGTATTTTGCTTTATGCTTCAGTGGCCCAATTCTGTAATAACAGCGTTGGGTGTTTTGCTCTAGTCTGGAACGCGAGGCCTTGGCTATGCCGGCCATCGAACGGTGTTGAATATACGTGAACAACTATCGATGGACGCGTCCAATCCCACATAGACGCTCGAGGTTCAGGTCAAATCACTGGGCAAGAATCCACGCAGATTGGTCAATCTGACCGTACCGTGGTCTGAGCACAAGGACTGGCTTCGCATTGCGCGCTGCTCAAGGACCGAGCAGCTTCTGCTGTCCCTGTCCATGTTTCTGTAAGAGTGACCTTTCACTTTGCTCTTTCGCCTTTCATCACAGGGCATCGTATTCTTGACGAAATGATGCTCTGATTCCCAGTCATCACCTCACCAATTTGCTAGAAATGGTGGGGAGTTTACAGTGGCGCGTTGTGCAGCTTACAGCAGTTGTAAAACTTCTTCCCAGGCACTCTGCCGACAGTCCACTTCTTCCACCAAGGCCAGCAACAGCGGCGTTTTTCACCGCCCTTCTTGTCCTCGAAAGGACGTGAGAATTGCTGTTGCTGCAGAAGCGTTTCAGGTCTGGAGCGCTGCCGGTGTGCGGGCGCCCACACTTGTTCCTTGCACTCTCTGCCGCTGTCCGGGCTGGCAACTTTGCCGCGAAAGATATCCAATGGACCGCAGAGAGAGAATACCAATCAGACCTGCACTGCGGATGCGCTGCCAGCGTGATGCAAGCTCTTCACATTGCTGGAACGCCCAGCAAGATGGGCCGGACGTGCCTGTGGACCGCGCTCTCTCTGCACGAATCGCTGTACAGCGATTCGCGCAGAAACGTGTTACGCAGCTCAAGTCCAGCTCAACATCTTGAGCTGGGCACGAGCCGCGCAACCTGACGCCTGGGTTGCGCGGCGCGACATTCAGGGAACATCAACTCAATTCATCTGCAAACAGGCGTCGTTGGCTGACCCGTCGCCAAGGCTTGGCGCGCCATGCTCCCCGGCCAATCCCATCCGCAGGCGCACTAAAACCTGCAGAAGACCACTGCAGTAAATGGCTATCTGCTGCAGTGCTTCCCACTGGAAGCCACGCCGCGGGCCCAGAGAATTTCCGGCAGAACGCTGCGCCGGCTTTTCCGGCGGCGCCCGCGACCGTTCGCGCGATACAACGTGCGCAGATCGAGTGCGAACCCCGCCACCGAGCGGGAATTCGCTCCGCAGCTCCCGCCCCCGCTCCGCTGCAGCACAGTCGGCCCCCGGGGTCGAATTTCCAAACAAAACCAAGCTCAGTTCTTTTTAGTACTGTGCAGTACGGCGCGGAACTGCGCGTTCCTTCAAACCCAACGTCACCAACGATACCGTGACCTCACACACACACACATAGACACACGCGGGGGCGCACACCACACATGCTCAGTACTGCCTGTCCCTTCCCATCCGCGGGACGTCGATCGGCTCGAGAAGGAAGCGTAACAGGGGGTAACGCCTGTTGTGGAGGCTCCCGGCGCACGTGGTCCCTGTACCGCAGGCGAGGTACTCATCTGAGGCGGGACGTGCTCTCCGCCGGTGGCAGACGGCGACGAGCATGCCTCACACGATGCTCCGCAGAACCTCATACGCTCAGTGAGGTCGGGGGGTGGGGGCGGCAAGCCGCGGAGATAGGGGATAAGGGATCGGGTGCTGCGGGCTGATGGGTTGGATGCCGAGCGGCATGAATCGCGGGACGAGCGGCACAGGGCTGGGGGGGGGAGGGGTGCTTGCTTCAGAGTTCCCAGAGCGGCGCCCTGGATGCCCGGAGGTTGAATTCGCGGCGCCGTTTCTTTGGTTTTGGTTATGGGGGACTGGGCGTCGGAGGGGACGGGCGATAGGCAGCAGAAGGGGGCGGGCGCGGCGTGATGTTGGACGTTGGACCGCTGGGCGTGGGGGGAGGGAGAGCGGGGAGCGCGTTGGATTGCTTGCGGCCCGTCGTTTACGGACCGCGGATGGCGGCCGTTGCCGTTCGGGGCGCGGCGCTGTGGGTCTGGAGCGGGATTGGGCGGAAGTGCGCGGGCGGCGAAGGCCCAATGTCCGATCCTACCGACTCTAATCCTACCGATCCTGCCAGGGACTGCTTCAACTCGGCGGCAAGCGCCGCCGGCGTGTGCCGCTCCGACCTGTCGATCGCCTGCTCGGGCAGTGTCCCCCAGATTGCCGCGTTCCCGCCGCCTCAAAAGCTCGGGGCGATCGGCGTCCGGCAGCGCCGCCATTCCAGGACCCCTGCGGACTGTATTGCGATTCGCGAAAGGGCGATTGAGGCCACAAGATTGACTTGTGGTTCTTTCTCGGCTGCCAATACAGCCCCGTCGGCTCTGGGCTGCGGATGTCCCGCGATTGGATGCGAGCGTCCCCCCCCCCCGCGCCCTCGATCAAACGGCAGCACCGACGTTGGGGGCGGACTTGCACGTCAAGCCGATTTGTTGACCTTGCGGTTGACCCTTTGTTCAACGCCTCGCTGGCCGCCGACGGCGCCCCCAAACCCGAATGGCTATTTTGAACGTGGAGTCGCTCTGCATGGCTCTTTGGTTGTGTACCCTCGGGTGCTCCATCGCCCATTCGCGGCAGCAGCGAAGGTACGCGCCTCGTTCCGCCGATTCTTTCACGCTGGGGGGAGCGGCGATGACTAACCCTGCACCGCACCCACAACGGGGGGGGGCTCACGTACGGCCACTCCCCGGCGGCCCATCACCGCGATTGCTCGATTTGATGCGGGTTCCCGACAGGGTTGGGGGCGGGGGCGACCACGTAGGGTGTGACCCTTTGGCGGGTTAACGCGCTTTGACCAGCACGTTCCAGGCCTGTTGTGCGTCGGTGCGACCGCGGCTGTGGGCAGTCGAAGGGCCTCGAGCACGTCATCGCCAACGGGTGCACCGCTTGGGATGGTCCGGGGGCTGAGCTGCCAGGGCAAGCGCGGTGGAAAAGGGATTGTCAGTGCGCTCCGGGAGTTGCCGATGTGCCCACTTGCGTGCTTGCAACACGTGTTGGAGCATATGCTGTGCGTCAAGCCACTGTGGCCTGGTGGCACACTGTGTGACAAATGCCACACACTAATAGAAAACAGCCTGTTTGCGATGCCAACTGTGACGCCATTTGACAGAAATTGATGCCATCAGGCCCTTTTATGCCATCGCAATCACTGTGATAGCATCAATTTGTGTCGAAATGGCATCACAGTTGTCACCACAAACATGTTGTTTTCTGCCAGTGGCAGGACACGCAGTTGTAGCTATTCTTGAAAGCATTCGAAAGTGTGACTGCTTGAACAGGAGCTGGTCACCCTTTTACAGCGCATTGAGGCGATAGATGCTGGAAGTCATGGCGGCACTGCGGCGTCTTTGCCTTGCTGCCAGGTGCGACTTTTGAGAGCGTCATGCTTCAATGGCAAGAACCATGAGTGACTTTAGTAATGGTTTGATGCCAGGTTGCATCGATATGACAGGCACTGCCAGAAGCCTGTGTTGAGGCCATGGACACAGGGGAAATAGGGGGCCAGTCTGCGCATCATTCCACAAAGAACCGCTGTTAACACAAGCTCTCGCAGCACCACACAATTTGGGACAATCCGCTTCCATAGAAGCAAACAAGTTCTGTGGATCCACGTCGCTGGGTCGCTGGGACAAGCAGACGCTCAGAATGCTGCGAATTCCTTTGCACCAGATTGGCAATCTTTCCATGGAATACCATTGGAGACGCCCACAACGTTCAAGCACAGTTTCTGTTTTGAACGTGTGTTACCTTCCTTCATTACCATGATGTGCTTAATGTCATCCTCACTTGAGCACATGCCGTGCTGAGTGCACAACGCAAAAGCCGTTGGATTCATCCCCGCTCCACCCCTCCTTTTCAGAAATTATCATTGCCCACAATGCGCCAAATGCAATGCCCCCGCAGTCTCATAGCTCCCATCGTCAATTTGGGAGTTTCTGGAAGTTTAACACGGTGTTCCCACTGAACAGCAACGTATTTGCATTTTTTTTGGATCAGATACGCAGGCACAATGTTATTGCCTGGTGGATGAACTGCTATTCCAATGATCGGCGCCTCTTTCACCTCTTGCAACGTCACTGTGCCGTTGCGCATTGCCGAAAAAGAAATAAGACAACAAGTCATAACACCAGCTTCTTGGCTGCGAGTGCAACTGGCCACAGCTGTCAGACGGGGACACAACGTGTCTTCTGGAGAGCCTCGACGCGTATTTGCACGCAAGAATCATGCTAGCGCTTGGAACACCATTCAAACAATTCAGCATTTGGCAATCCACCCAAAACGTCTAATCAAAAATAAATTCGCGGCAAGACCAACGGATTCAATCCGGCAATCAGCGCATCACGCCAATCGCCCCATCAAAACAATTCTCAAAGGAAACCACCTGTTAGAGGAGACGACGTGTTTGCCCCAAGTCGCAGAAAAAGAAGAAAAAAGAAAAACAGAAGCCAAAAAATGGCCCGCGTCACCGTCCCACGTCTTCCTTGTAACAGATGTCCTCCCGGTCACGTTGTGTTCCCACGAACGGGGCCCCAAGGGTCAGGAAGAACGCCGCCAGGCAGGCGCACAGGCAGGGCGCGCCCACGCCCGGCTGCCCGCTGAGAGCCGTCAGCACCACCGCCGACGCGATTGGCGTGCGCGTGATCGCCGCATTGAGCCCCCCGCCCACGCACATCACACTCATCACGATCGGGAGGTCGCTGAAGAATGGCACGCCGGGAAGCGCGGCCAGCGCCGCGCCCATGGCGCCGCCGGCGAAGATCAGAGGGAAGATGAATCCCCCCCCCTCAGGCCCGCCGCGGCAGATATGCCAATCGTCAGCAATTTGGTGACGGCGATCACCGCCCAGACGCCGGGGGAAGGGGGGTTGGGTACGGGGGCCCAGATGCCCCCTTGGGGCCACACATGGGGGATTGGGGATTGGGGGTTTGCGATCACGCCGATAGCGCCCTCGCTCCAGAACATCGTCTGCGGGAGGGCCGCGCCGATCAGTCCCAGGATTGCCCCACCCGCCGCCGACGCCACAATCGGCCGGCGCATCGGATCCAGGGACACGGCCCTGAAGCCGGCGCGCATGGTAGCGCTGATCTTGATGAACGCCAGCGCCATGGCGGCGGAGACGACGCCGAGGATGGCGCCGATGGCGAGGTGACGGGAGTCGACGAAGAGGAGGGGGTCGCGGAAGGCCCAGACGGGGCCCATGGGGTCCAGGCCGGAGAGGGCGCGCATGGCGGCCAGGCAGACCATGCTGGAGGCCAGGGCGTAGGGCAGGGGCTCGAAGAACTGGGGGCCGTTGCGGTGCAGGACCTCGAAGGCGAACATGGTGCCTGGATGGGTGCGGGGACGGCCGGTCAGCGGGGCTGTTCTTTTTGCAGAGCAGCGTTTTCTTTTAGAAGAGGTTGTTAGGCGTTTTAGCAAACCGACAGACAAACTGCACACTGCAGACTGCAAAGAGCAAAACGCAGAAAGAGCAAAACGCAGATAGCAAGCGGCCAGCGGCCAAGGGCAAAGGGCAAACTGCAAAACTGCAAACTGCAAAGGGCAAACTGCAAAACTGCAAACTGCAAACTGCAAACTGCAAACTGCAAACTGCAAACTGCAAACTGCAAACTGCAAACTGCAAACTGCAAACTGCAAACTGCAAACTGCAAACTGCAAACTGCAAAGTGCAAAGGGCAACCTGCAAACTGCAAAGTGCAAAGGGCAACCTGCAAACTGCAAACTGCAAACTGCAAACTGCAAACTGCAAACTGCCGACTGCAAACTGCAAAGTGCAAAGTGCAAAGCGCAAACTGCAAAGTGCAAACTGCAAAGTGCAAAGCGCAACCTGCAAAGTGCAAAGGGCAACCTGCAAACTGCAAACTCCAAACTCCAAACTGAACTGGAATTGGCAAGGTATTGGTGGCAGCGTAGCTTAAAGTTGAAACGAAAGTGCTGGAAACAGTCTGCAGTTTTTGCACAGATACTGCGGCATTTAAGCGCTGGAGAGCTCAAGGATCACAGGCGTCACTTGCTGTGGCACGTGGCAACAAACTTTGGCCAATTGTCAATAAAGATTAACGGACCTGGCAACGTAAGAAAGAAGGGGGCTTGCTGTTATCTTCCACCACGGGTACAGAAATGAAGAAAGTGCCCACTGAGGGGGAGGCGTTGACATCGATGCACGCAAGTATTGGGTGCCACAGTGTGGCAACACTAAACAGTCTAACGATTATCTGTACATAGGCAACTTCTTCTTGCAAGGAACACCGTTACTGCCTGACATCTTGACACCCATCAGGTTAGTCCTTTCAATGGGCATGACGAGAAAGGGTCTCTTTAACGTCCTGCAGATCATCGACACTATTTCAACCTCCAGGAAGAGAATCCCCGCATTCCTTGGGCGCAACAGCGAATAAATGACAAAACAACTTATTGGCAAATTATTTAAACTAGGGAAGTCTTCTATAATTTTCTCGCGTTCCAAACGGGATCACCTACAATGAAACGCCAGAAATAGCCGAATCCGCACAGCTCACCCGCAACCTTCTCTCACTGGGAGACGCCACACTGTCTTTTATTAGCATGAAAAAGAATCTCACATACGCTTGCTTAGGAAGAGGCGCCCTTGTACGATCTATTTTCTTTTGAAGTGTAAAGTCATACTTTGCACTGCAAGTTCTTAAAAATCTGAAACATGGGGTATTGAAACGACTGAAGCTCCTAAAACTAATCTGCGTTTTGCAAAATTTAAATTGCAAGTTACCAAGCCTCAAAAATCTACAAAAACTGGCATTTTAAAACGACTGGAGTTCTTGAAAACCCAAGGCTTGCAAACCCTGCCGCTCACCCGCCAGGCCCACGCCGAAGAGGGCGGATATGCCCGACGCCGCACCCATGAGCGTGCACGCCCGCAGCGCCCGTCCGCCGTGGCCCAGCACGTTCTTGGACAGCCAGCCCACGCTGGCGGCGCACAGCGCCAGGATGGCCGCCTCCGGTCCCAGGCTGCTGCCGGAGACGATGCTGAGGGTGGAGCACAGGAAGATGGCGGGCACCTGGGCCACGGGGACCATGCCGGTGGAGTGGATGGCGTCCACGGTAGCAGGTAGGTCGCCGGGGGCGCCCAGCACCTGCGGGGGCGCCAAATTGTTGGGGATGGCGTTCGAGAGCACGCAAATACAATTGGCCCTTTGTAATTTACAAGGGGTGGCAATTTGGACAAATTGCAAATGACCAAATTATTGGGGTGGCATTTTAAGTGCGTGCAAATACAATTGCCCCTTCGTAAAAGTGGCAATTTGGGCAAAACCCAAACAACTTAAGCAAAAGTTAACAAAACAACTAATTGGGCCGTGAGCCTTGAGTTGAAAGGGTTGTTGGCAAGGTGCCGTCGATCGTGGACGGCACAGCAAGTTCCTAGGATGCACCCGTCGACTCTGACAAAGCAAAATCCTTGCACCTTTTTGGCGACAGTGGGCATCAAAGTTTGCCCAAGCATTGGGCATGCAGAGGTGGCAGGGCCTGGGGGACATCGATAGGACATGTAGCCAGAAATTTCTGAAACAGAAATCAGAAAAGCACCCAAGACAGGCAGTGCAGTGAAGTGGTAGGGATCACGCATTTTTGTGGGTGGCCTCAGTGGCGGCCAGGGCTCGTACTGTTCATGTCGTTGTTTTCAAATGCGTTTCCACATGCTTGCAGTTCAGCAATCTTCAGCGATATTCATTTGACACTCGTTTGGCACAGCTGATTCTGGCTTGTAAAAGAGTTTGCCCACCTGTTTCAAACACATTTGGCCATTCTGGGGAATGGTGGAGCCACATACACACAGCAATGCCCGCATGACAGCACCTGACATCGCAAGGTGTGTGAAAGGATGGTGCTTCTTGATGTGTGGACTATGAACGAATGAACGAATCCGGACAATGAACGAATTCGATGAACGATTGCACAAAGAAACAGGCAACTAGCAGTGTGG